TAAAAAGAGCAGGGGGACCACTCTGTAAAGATATGAATGTCTAACCACTATGCTGTATACCTGAAACTAATACAAAATAATATTCAAGTAAAAAATACTTTTGATTAAATTAAAAGAAAAAAGTCCAGATTCCCACATTTTTAGGAGCTATAACCCAAACCCCTTAGCATGACATCCCAGACATTGTACCATGTGATATAAACGGGCCTCACCAGCTCTCCTTCCCATGGCCAAATTCCCTGCGGAACCCAGGTGGGCTCTCATTCCCACCCATCTCAACTTCCACCCAGGCCTGAGCCTTATCCCTCTCACTCCTCCCAGCACCATCCTGCTCACCATTCAAGCCCCAGTTCAAATACCATCTGTTCTTTAAAGTCTTTGCCAGCCCCTAAACCAAGGTGGTCAGCCATCGCTATTTGCACCTGCTGTCCTACGGTGATTACTGAAAGTACGCCATTTACTCTCATATCCTGCTATGATGATAAATTGTATGGCCCTCCTGTATAAAACCTACCCGGCCCAAAGACAGAACTAGTGATTTGTATAACTGTGTCTTTTGCTACAAAGTGTTCCTTCAAGACAATGATGCTGCCTTGCCTTAGTGTGCACTTACGGCATCTAAAGACTGTTAGCACCTAAGAAGTGCTCAAGGAACACAGGTGGAATGAAAGAATGAAGCTGATCCTTAAAAAATTGTCGCAATCAATCTGATCTAAACTGCATCTAAAATTCCAAAGAAAAAGGTTTCTAAATCAGAATTAGACCTAAAAAACCCTAGGCCAAAAAAGCAGGCCATGGAAACATTTTGTCACATAAGCCATTTCCTTCCCTGATCCAGTGTTTCTCAATTTTTTCTCACTAATGACCCCAAAGAAGTCTTTTTAGACATTTTTTCCTAACTACAGCCCCCATGCAATTTCAATAGCACAGACATATATCTGTGCTTCATACAAAAATGAGCAAGTACAAGTTAATACTTTTTGTTCAATAATAAGTTTGAATGACTAAATAAAAATTTTAAGTTAAATTAAAATTTTAAAGCTATTAACATTTAATTCTATAACTGTATTTGAGTAACTTTTAATGTAATTTTAATATAAAATATAAATGTATCAATTTACATATGCAAATTACCAATTTCTGCCTAATAGAAATAAAACCAAATTTTTAAAAGACATTAAAAACTGTTATTTTTCCAGAAAAGATAAAACAATTAAAAATTATCTTAAACATTACTTTAATGAAATTAACTCTTCTTTCATATGAGAAATAATTTTTAATTTAACTAGCTGCTAGATAATCATTCAGATATTGATGGTATTGTCTCTTTTTAGTACTTCCTGACATAATTATTGGTGGACTGAATAATTTTAATAGGATTAAATAATAAAATATAAACAAACTATTTTTTACTTAATTCCCAAATCCCAAATCACACAAAAGCATGGAGGGCCAAACATAAGCAAAAAAAGGAAGCTAATGGTAGCCCCTAAGTATGAGGAGGTCACCAAGAGAGATTCAACTTCAAGATCAAGTAACTAATGGTCCCTCCAGCCACAGTCATTTATTTGCCATAGGTTCGTAGTGCTGACCTTGCATAATTTCTGTATACCTTTCATGAACTTGATGTCAAAGTTGCTTGTGTAATTCCCAAGAAAACCCAATGAGGTAAATCTAAATGTTAAGAAATAAGATTGTGGCCCTAGGTGGTGTGGCTCAGTGGATTTAGTGCTGGCCTGCAAACCAAAGGGTCACTGATTTAATTCCCAGTCAGGGCACAAGACTGGGCTGCAGGCCAGGTCCCCAGTGGGGGGACACGTGAGAGGCAACCACACATTGATTTTCTCTCTCTCTTTCCTTCTGTCTGAAAGTAAAATAAACAAAATCTTTTTATAAAAAAGAAAGAAAGAAGATTTTGTTAACCAAGCTTTGAAGGACCACACACCACTGTAAAATGTAAGATGTTTTTATCCCCCTTCAGAATCAATTTTTGCCACCCTTGAGATTGTAAGTCCTGACCTCTGTAGTCTGACATTTACCCTCCTGGAAAAAAACATCAGTTTAACATCATATCCCACAGCTACCATAAGAGCGCCTCTACTACCATCATCTCTTTGGTTACACTGAGAAAAAAGGGATCCCCATAGTATTAGCCTTTCTCCCAAAAAGGAGTCCTCCTCCTCTCCAAAAGCACAGACTTTCAGAGCTAGAAGAACACTTAGGGCTCATCCAGACACTCCTTCATATGAGGAAACTTAGAAGAGCCCTAACAGATTGAGAGACCTGCTCAAAGTCACCAGTTATGGACAAGGTACCTGTCTGCTCAGTTCACTGTTGTGTCTCCAGGCTAGCACCAGGTCTGGCACATAAGATCATCAGATGTTTGCACACATCATAAATGAATGACTATGGAGCAAATTAGTGAAAGAGCTGAGAGCCCAGTTCACCTAATTCCTAGGCTACTACTTTTCCAGCTACACACTTTTACTTCCTTGGAATATAAAAATTAGCCACAAAGATTTCAAATTAAGTGTTTAAAAAACCTCCCAGCTGAAATAAGCTATTTTAGTTCCCACAACCAGTAAAGTTGAGGAGCAGTCTTGTTCACTCACGTGTAGAGCACTTCAGCCCACTGAAAGTTAGGGACTTTCTACAAATAAGGGTACCCAGTCTATAAGGGTATCCAGTCTAACTTGCTTACCCTGCCTTGAGCTCTTTTCTCAAGTTCTTATACATGTCATATCTCCCTATCTTGAGAACCCTGGAGAGCCAAAACTGTGACTTCTCTTTCTGAGGCACCTACCAAGTTTGAGCACAGAGCAGATGTTCAATAAATGTCATGAAACTTATACCAAAGGAAACAGTGCACCATGTCTTACAAATGTGGATTTGGCATGAACCAAAAATTATGTCTGTACTTGTACTTAGCTGATCTCTTAGGACCAGTATATAGCGCCTAACATGTAACAGGCACCTAATAGTTATGAAATTTAAAAAGTGAATGGAAGATATGGCAAAAAACAGAGGAATTATTAAGCAACATTTCTTCTGCTGTCATTCAATCATTCAATAAATTATGTATTCTCAAGTGTCTGTGTGCCAGGCACTCTGCTACTCTGAAACCCAACTTCCCCCACAGCGTTAGAGCCCTTCTCCCTAGCTAATCCATCCCAGTATGTCAGTTCATCTTGCAGGCAATGGCATAACTAGGGTGGCCATATGTATCAATATGCCCAGGACAGTCCCAGTTTACACCTATAGTCCAAGCATTAATTATTAATGGTATCCCCTTTCTCTCTCAACAATACCCTGGTCTGGACAATTATATAGCCCTAAGTGTAGCAATTCTTTTTTTCAACAAGCAGACTAGGGATTCAAAATTTCACTCCACATTTAGTAGCTACTCCTGGTCTTGACTCCTAATTTATAATATGGGCACAATACTGATTAAACTAAATGGTTATATGGAGAAGCAACTGGGGAAAAGGCTAGAACATCAGATTGAGGCCACACTGTACAAAGCCTTGCATGCCAAGTACATGGATACTTAATTCAATACACAACAGGGAGCCATCAAAACCTTGGCAACTAGAGTGAATGTATGGTCAAAGCACCATAAAAGTGTTACTACCTTGTTTTTACAAAAAAAAAAAAGAGCTAAGGAACGAAAAACAGCTCATCTGTGACATACCAAAGACAGCCTAAAGCTATAAAGATCGTCACAGATGAAAACAGCAACAAATGTAATACTTCATCATTTGCTTTTACAGGTGGTTTAAAAGTTTCAACAATAAACAGATGGAGTTGAGCAAGCTCTAGTTCATTGGTCTGTAGTCTTGGTGCCTTCATTGAAAGACACAAGCTGTGAGGAAGGTTCTGGACCACCCGTTTTGCTCTCTTGTCTGTCAGTCGTGTAAAGGTTCGGTTTTTGTTTTATTTTCATTTTAAAAGCTATATTTAAAACATAGTGTTCATTGTCAGGAGTTTCCCGACACTGAAGAAATGGATGGGAATCTTAACACGCCTTCTCCAGATATTCCACTATTGCATCATTTGAAACTAAGCCTCTCAGGCGGCGACTTGTAAAATTCAAGTCAGGTAAAATGGCAGCAGCGGCAGCAGCAGCTGTGGGTACTGCTGCTGCTGCCGCCAGCCTCAACTTCAGGCTCCAGAGAGCGTCTCTCCGGAGCTGCCAAGTGCTGAAAAGAAAAGCCTATAAATCAACAGGTCCGGCGCGCCCGGCCGAGGGTGCTCAGACTCCCGCGCGCCCGCCCGAGGAGGAAGTGGCTAATGGCTCATAACCAGCTGAGACCACAGGATGCCGGCTCTCGGAGCGCCTTCTCTCGGTCTAGACCACCGACATTGGGAACCTGCTCGGGAAAGGCCCGGGCCCAGTGGACGGAGGGGACAGGACCGACACCCGGGCGGCGGCTGCTTCGGTTCCCTCGCGCTCTGGCCCCTGGGCAGCCGCTGCCCTGCCGGCCCGTACAGACACCCCTGGGGCTCCTTCCTCCCCTGGGTGTCCCCCTCCTCTCACAGACTGTAAGCCTTTCTGTCCTGACGCCAGGAAAGTAGCAGAGAAGGTGAGACTCCCAGCTCAAGACTCGACTATAAAAGCGCCGGACGGCGGGTGTCAGGACTTCGGGATCAGACCTCCAAAAGCCTCGCGTCCGAACGGCCCCGAACAGCTCAGTGTTGCGAGCCCCGCGCTACCGCGCCCTCGCACCCATCCCGCCGACCGGACGTAGTGTCCTCCATCCCCACAACTCCACGGAGCTGGCGCCCCGAACCTCGGAGCCGCCTCCGCTCCGAGAGCCGCGCAGACCCTCCTCACTCTCGCGCGCGAAAAGACCTCCCAAGGACGGGTACACCCACCCGCAGCCCCGGTCTCTTCCTCCCGGCGAGAGGCTTCACGTCCCGAACTGGGACCAAGGGGGCGGGACCTTGGCCATCCCCGCCAGGCTCCGGGGGAAGTGCCCGCTCTCCCCACTGTCCAGTACCTCGTCCGCTTCCAGCTCAGCTCCGTTGCCTACGAGCGCCATATTCCTCCTCCGCTCGCCGCTACCCAAAAATCAAGTAGGGAGCTTAAACCCAATCTCTTTTCTCCGTTCCGGGCTCAGACCAGAGCCGGTGTAGGAGGAAGGGGGAGGCCCCGCCCTCCCGCCGGATCCCGGGCGGGGCCTGAGCGCCGCTTAGAAAGCGTTCTCCCCGCCCCTGGCGCCCGCAGACCTGCGGAGCATCCATTTCCCGAAGGGGCGCGGGTGGCCCTCCTCGCCGTAAGCTCCGCCCTCACAGGCCTCGCCCCGCCCTCCCACGAGGTTCAGGCTGGTTCAGCCAATCAGGTTCCTGCAACGGGTCCCTGCCCTCGGCCGGCAACAGCCTGGGACCCCCACGTAGGAGGGGTCATCCAGTGGGCGGGGGTCACCTCGCACAGAAGACTTCCAGGTTGGCCCACCGTACTTAAGTACCTAAAGGTACCGGCGGCTTCCAACACTCTGCAGAGGGTTGTTGATCGCCCTGAGCGAAGAGTGACCGGTCGACAAGGCCAAGGTCAAAGCCACACTACCCCGAGGCCTAAGGAGCGTCCGTCCACCTTGTCCTTGGGCTGAGGCCAGTCTTCCCTCTCAGGTGGACACTGCATCTCACAAATGGTGTGGCCAGAGTGTCTCCTGTCATTGTCACCAACCACCTAGAGGCTTTTGTCATACCACCTTGTCCAAACACTAACAAGGTCAGTCAGGGGCATCATCTTCAGACACATGGACGCTGTGTTTGCTTCTATGTATGTTTGAAAACTGGAAGAAAAACCAAGGCACGTATTTATACTACTTAGTGCTTCTCTACCTTTTCCTCCAGCATCCCTCATTGACTCCTTTTTAGCTCCAAAACATGTGTATTATTTGTGCTTAAACTATAAGCTGTATGAGCGTAGGGATCCCGTTACTTCAAAGCTGTACACACAGCACCTAGAACAGTGCCCTGTAAGTAGTAGGTGCTCAACCAGTATTCGTTGCCTGAGTTTAGAAATGGTTTCTTGCTTCTGACATAAAATAATCCAACTATCCAACTGGTAGATTAAAAGGTATATTTTGGGGGGTGGGGCGGGGGTATTACCTTTATTTTATATACCATAAAATTAACCAAGTTTAAGTATATATTTGGATGACATGTTTACAAAACATCATCCCAGTCATAATCTAGAAAACTCCAAAATTTCCCTTTGCCTCTTTGCTATCAATTTCCTACTCCCTGTCCCTGGCCTCTGGCAACCACTGATCTGCCTTCTACCACCATCATTTTCCTTTTCTAGAATTTCTCATATAAGTAAAATCATAGGGTCTGTGGTCTTTGTCTGCTCATAAAAGACTAATGGTCATCAAGTGATAATTATAAAAATAGCTAATATCTATTGCGTACTTTCTATGTGCCAGAAATATGCTAAGCCCCTTGCATATGTTGTATTATCTCATTTATCCTTCATAACCCTATGAAGTAGGTACTGTCAACTTACAGGTGAGTAAACTGAGGCTCAGCAAGTTTAAGTAACTTGCTTGAGTTCAAACAGATATTAAGCAAGTAGAGATGCCAGAATCTTAACTTCAGCAGTCTGACTCGAGGGTGTGGCTGGCAACCACTGCGCTGCACTTCCTCCAGGCACCCTCCTTTTCTTTCCCTCTGTTTCAACAGAGCAACTGCCTGCACATGTCTGTTACACACATTTCCAGTGAGTCATCTTTCCATCCTTTACACTTGATCTAGAATTTAATGAGTCACTGTGTACCTTTATACTAGAAAAATAAAATCGTCCCTACCCAATAAACAACCTGAAAATATGGGTTAGATTGTAGTGATGGTTGCACAACTCCATGAGTTTACTACAAATCATTAACTGTATACTTATAATAGGTGAATTTTATGGTTATGTATATTATATCTCAATAAAGTCTTTTTAAAAACCGGTTAACACACCTTCTGGGTTTCCTTAGAATCAGATATATGGAGCTAGAAGGGACCTAGAGATCATTTAATTCCACTACCCCTGAAAGTTTCCACTCCTCCCCACAGCCTCTCCTGTTTATACTTCACTCCTGAGGCCAAATTTCCTGTCTGGGTCCAGATTCTACTCTCTATTACTTATGCAGGATTCCATTTTATAAAATTCATTCATTCTTAAATTAATATCACATCTTTTTTATATGAAACCATCTCATTGGTGACTTCTGCCCCCCCCCATATGCTTTGTTAATTGCCTTTCTTATGAATTTCAACTCTTCAAGTTTTGAAGAGATACAGAAGAGCTTGGTTCTAATTACTGTCATGTATATGTTATAAAGAGAATGAAGCCTAACTTTTCAAAAATCTATTCTTATAGATGAAGTTTGGTGTGTTATTTCTTTTAATACTAGGGATCAAATCTAAAGCCCTGTATGTTTCAAACTCACATCATTAGATGAGCAACACTCATATTTCTGAGGAATCCAATTATAAACACTGAATGAATAAATGTGTTCTAGTCTACTTAAATTTGCTTTGCTCCTGGAAAATCCCAACTTTCTGTTCCTGCACATGTTTGATTTTACAGGATCATGAGTCACAAATATAAAACAGCTTTTTTCAAAGAAAATTAGGATGGATTCATTTTTATAATAGAATTGCCCTTGCCAGTTTTCTGATAACAAACATCGTAGATTACTCAGATATTCCATCTCCCAAAAGTAACTAGCATAGGGATTAAGCAAGAGTAGTATCTGGATTTTTTTACTTCCAAATAAATCTAATATTGCAGAAATCTAATCTTTAATATTCTTGAACATGTTATGAATACAAGGTTTTTGTTGATACCTGATTTAAATAAGAATTGCATTTTTATCATTTGTGTAGTGGAGAGAGAATGGTTTTGCATTTAGAAATGAAAATTTTCAGATGTTCATATCCATAAAATAAGTGTTCATTGTAAATCATGCATTTGTCAATGGCTTTGTCTTATATTCCTGTCTTAACTCATCAAATAACTTCCCCTTCTAAAACAGCCCCTCCTTCTCAATCCCATGCTCATGTCTTCCTGCTGCCTTCGTAGCACTTACAACTATCTGACACTGTCTTGTTCATTTGCTTGTTCATGGTCTGGCTCCCTCAACAACACCCTACCCCTGCACACACACACACTATCTAATGTAGGCTCCATGAGGGAAGGAGCCTTGTGTTTTGTGTTTACAGCAAAACCACAGTGCCCAATACATAATGGATATTTAATAAATGGATATTGAGTACATGAATAAAATTATTTAAAAAGTTCATAATATACAGAGCATTTTGTTTAGACCTTGGAATGCCAATACTTTAGCATAATGTTTTGTTTTTTAATGTAGAAAACTAGCTTTAGCCAAATGCCTTGGTTGATTAGAGCATCATCCCATAAACCAAAAGGTTGTGATTTTGATTCCTAGTCAGGGCACATACCTAGGCTGTGGGTTCAGTCCCCAGTAAGGGCCTCTATGGGAGGCAAGGGATTAGTCACTCTGTCTCTCTCTCCCTCTTTCCTTCTCTCTCCCTCTTGCTCTCTTTCCCTTCCTCTCTCTCTAAAATCAATAGACATATCCCTTGGGTGAGGATTTGTTTTAAAAAGTAGAAAAGCAGTAATAATGAGGGAGATTAAACAATACAGGTTACATAAAGTCTAAAAAGTAAATACTATTTTTTAGGGTAATGTGGCAGGTATGATGACTAATGCCTGCTCATTTTTGCACAGTTATACAAAGAGCTAAGCACTTAGAAGTCCCTCAATGACCTGGTGGTGATTAATTCATATCCCTGGGAGAGATTTAAATGCTAGGGAGAAAAAATTCATCATTTAGTGGAGGCTGAAATCCTCCCTTAAGAATATCCCTGTTTTAGGCATTTGGAGCTGAGTAAACATTTATTTAGTTTATCAGTTCTTCGTTCACTTTGTTTCAAATATAGGTATATAATCTTTTCAATCACCTTACAACTTATTTTTACTATACTTTTTAACTTAGATTAACCTCATTTTTATAGATGAGGAAAGTGAGACCCAGAGAAATGAAAAGCAAAGACTAACTTTGACAACATGAGACTTCAGAGTATAGTGTTGAAGATTTAAAACAAGAAAAAATAAGCAATCTATGGTAGAGGCTGCTCATTGCCACATGCTGTTTATTTGCTTTTTGCTCCATTAGTTAAAGAACCTAGGTTTATATCCAGCAGCATGGTACCCACCTAAAAGATTACATTTTCAAGGACTCCTTTACAACTAAGAAGACCAACGTAACTTCTGGCCAATGAAATGTTTGACTTGCAAGAAGGCTATTTAAAAGAAAATGATTCAACAGAGGTGTGTGCTCTTTTGCCCTTCTGCCTCTCCTCCTTCCCACAGCCTGGAACAGACGTGATGGTTGGAGCTCCTGACACCTTACTGGGCCATGAAGTAGTACCTTGAGAATAGAATCCATAAATTAGAATATCAGAACAAAAAGATAGAAGGAATCTGGATTCCTGATAACTGTGGAGCTACCCCACAAGTACATGACTACCAACCTCAGGTGTCTATTGCATGAATGGTAAGTCAATTACTGTCTTTGTTTAAGTCACTGTTGTACTGAGATTTCAGTTACACACAAACAAGCCTAAATCTAAGTGTATGCCTGTGTAATTAAGTGTGTTAGATGTTCTGGGTTCCCATATACCTTCTCACTTGTCCAGCCAAAGCATTAGAACTGGTCAGTGTTGGTTTGGAGTAGCTGGCTTGGAGCAGTTTTGCAGTTCTTGTATACCTCCTCCTCTGAGGGCACTTCCCCCAAGTCCTCTTTCTCTGGGTTCTGTTGTACCTTCTTTTTTGGCATGTTTCCCCTCACATTGCTAGATCTTTTATTGTTCTGCAAGTCCAAACAGTCTCCACATTCTGAAGAGTACTAGCATATTTTTAAAAATATTTTCATTGTATTTCATGAATACTTTCAGTAAACCAGTAATTAATTTTGACCACCTTCAGCAATTCTATTCTCATAGCCTCTTTTTGGCCTAGTATTTGCAACACTTCTGATTGGGCACTTTGGGTTTATATCAGGCAGTCCCTATACTCACCTAAAGAAGGAGTCACAGATGCAAACTTTCTCCCTGAAACTTACACATAGGAACATCTATATTGTAAAACCAGTTTGACTGGGCACTATAATGATTAGTTCTAAATGTCTCTAAAGTGTCTCTAAAGCAATGGTTCTCAAACTTGAGCTTGCA